GAACCATCGAGAACATCAGGTGGCCCCAGCGAGTCTCCAATGAAGAGCTCAGAGCCCGCACGTGCCAGCCCCGAGCATCTTCCTTGGTCGCACAACGCCGCACCCGCTGGTTCGGCCATGTCCTTCGCCTACCACCAGACCATCCGACACGAGCCATTCTTCAGTTCGACCCAAAGGCCGCAGGCTGGAGACGACCACGAGGGAAGCCCCGCACTAGATGGCTCGACGTCGTTGCGGGCGACCTCCAACAACAAGGAGTTGCTGTGGAGGATGCAGAACAGCTGGCACAAGACCGCCGGCACTGGAAAAACCTGGTTCATCTGGTCGGCTCAACGCACAGGGACGGGACCCCCGGACCTTCGCTGGAGCACTAACAACAACACTAGATACACAACTCACAAAAAGTTAGGGATATTTGCCTTGAAGGTGAAATTTATGGAAAATGTCAAAAGTTCCTGCTCCGGTGATATCATATCATTTATTAAATTAGCACATTTAAGTTGAAGGATGCACAGATGATTTCCTCATTTCAAACAATTCATAAAAAGAAAAGTTAACAATAATGGTGGGTACACCACAGCAAAAAATTTCGACGTCTCAATGACACTTGAGCATCAATTGCACCTTGGCGACCATGTCTCATGCTGTTCACAAGTCGACTTATTTCTTGTCTGCTGAGGCCTGGCATCCCACTCTTCTTGAAGGCCAGCCCTTAGGTCACTGAGGTTATGGGGTGCAGTGTTTCGAGCCTCGACACGGCAACTCAGCTGATCCCCCAGGTTTTCAATAGGACAAAGTGCAGGCCATTCCATTGGAGGCGCATCAGTCTCCAACAGCCGTTCCTTGATCAGGCGACCTCAATGAGCTGGAGCATCGTCGTCCATGAAGATGGAATTAGGCTTGTGTTGTTCATATCGGGGCACAATCCTTGGATTAATAATGTTATTCGGGTAGTATGGTCTTGTCACAAAGTAAAGGGCAATTCTGCACCAACTGGAACCACCTGCACACACCGTAACACCGCCACCACCAAAAGCTCGTCTGGTGACAACAGTGGCTGATACATGGCGCTCTCCTTGACGTCTCCCACATCGTTGGCTGATGACACGCTGTGACACTCCAAGCTCAGCGGCCACTTCCGTCTGAAAATGTCCTGTTTTAAGCATCACAATGCCAAGATACTGTTGATCTATTACTACGTGTCGTCTAGGTCTCATCATGTCAAAATGTAAACAGCATTATGAGGACGACTGTTTAAACACCGGCTCTAATTGACCCATACCAGACATTTATTGGTCGGTTTAAGTATCAAACATCTGTTGTGAATTTTGCCGCGAAGCTCCTCGTTGGATAACAGCAACTCGTGCAAAAAGTACTGAAACATTTGGACATGTGCATTCAAAAGCTTAGAGAAGGTCACATTTAGTTAACCTATAAAGGTTTGAATGCATTTTGGGCTTTTCCTGAAATTCCACCTGAAAGCCAAATATCCTTTTTGTGAGTAGTGTATGATAGAATTTTGGAAGTACAGAGGGATAGATATCGAATTTTCCTGACAATAACAATACCTGAAAATAATGCAGATTTACATGCTTCAGAATGCATACATAGACGAAGAAATAAAGCTGCAATCCAAAGTTTTAGGGGTCATGTTTGAACGATACATAGCAACATCAAACTGTTAATTCCTATTTGGAAAATGTTTCCCAATCCAAACCATCCATCCATCCATTTTCTGATCTGCTTTATCCTCACAAGGGTCAAGGGGCATGCTGAAGCCTTTCCCAGCTGTCTTCAGGCAGTAGGCGCGGGACACCCTGAACCGGTTGCCAGCCAATCGCAGGGCACACACAGACGAACAACCATCCGCGCTCACAGTCACACCGAGGAACAATTTAGAGTGTTCCATTAACCTGCCGTGCATGTTTTTGGAATGTGGGAGGAAACCGGAGTACCCGGAGAAAACCCACGCAGGCACGCGGATAACATGCAAACTCCACACAGGGAGGCCGGAGCCGGGATCGAACCCACGGCCTCTGCACTGTGAGGTCGACGCGCTCATCACTCCATCCCCGGGCCGCCCCCAATCCAAACCAATTGGAGAGAATCATTCTCAATCTGTACAGAATTCTTGCACACGTCGCAACTGTAATAAAAATTGTCTTCCACATTCCGCATGCATCCATCTCTTCTGTGTTTTCTTCTCAGGCTCAATGAAGATGTCAAGCTCGGACAGCTACTTCTACGCCGCCATCGTCGCCGTGCTGGCTGTGCACGTGGTCCTGGCCTTGTTTGTTTACGTGGCCTGGAACGAAGGCGCGCCCAAAGGGAAGGGCAAATACGATTAAGTACGATCTAAGGAGACGCACAAACCTTTCGAAGGGATCTTCGGAACGCCCCCCCCCCCAGCACCACTAGCACTACCCCGGCTCAATACTTAACATCTAACGAGACAGTTCTGGTGTGCGGCCTTGAACTTATTAAATGCAGCCTGTTGAATGTGCGGTTCTTATGAAGACCCCTTTTGACTTCTTCTGTTAAAAGAGGGCAGCTTTTAAAAGATGTTTGGGGTTTTTTCCTCATTTGTCTTAACAGTCGCAAGTCCGACATGTGGTAAAACATCTTCCATTCTGCTTTGTTGTGTACGTCACTGAGCCCTTTGATTCCCAAACTGTTGAATTTCAATCCCGAGTCGGTGACGCATACTTGCTCAATACTTGGTTGAGTTCAAATAAGTAATACACAAGTGAGGAATTTCAGTTGTCTTATTTTGTCACGATGTTTTAGCTTTGCATTTTTGTTCCTTTTCAAAGAAGTGTCGTGATGCTCCGATCGTCGAATTGTCCAGCACTTTTGTGCGGCTGTTATTTTGTGATGTCAGTGTGAAATAGATCGGCGATCTAGTTGAATAAATTTGTGAAGTCGAATGTAGTCCTCTAGGTTTGATCATGGTTCACTAGCTTTTATTATTTTATTGTGGATGACATTCCTAAATGTATCTATTATTATAAAAAATAAAAACACACACTGTTAGTCACATAATGCAGTCACTATATTTTGAGGGTTCACATATACTGTATTTCAAAAGGATGAAAGAATCCGAAGTGGGGGCCTCATGGCAAAGTTTTTTGTTCTCATAAATAAATGTCACCACGCAAATTGAATTCTGCAGCCAGATGGCTGTAATTACATTTGACGCCACCACAAATTGACAAAATTGACCCAAAACTAATTGGGGACTGAGGTATCAATGCACACAATACATAAAAAACACAAGCTAAATAGGAAAGTATTACAGTGACTGTTGAGTGTTGCAAGCACCGGTCTGTATGTTGAAGTAACACATCTGGACAAAAAGACAAGCTTTGTATGTTAGGTTAAGATTGGCCTATTAGTGGACGTTAGCGAGAGTTTTCACCTGCATATTTACATGCAACAGAAACAAATCTTATC